TTTACATCAGTGGCACCATGCAATATTTGTCCTTTTGTGACTGAGATATTTCACTCAGCATAATGTCCTCCAGGCTCACCCATTTTGAATAATATTGCATGAGTTCCTTGATTTTCAATGCAGCGTAGTATTCCATTGTGTGAATATACCACAGCTTCTCTATCCATTCGTTTGTTGGTGGACACCTGGGTTGTTTCCAACTCCTTGCTATTGTGAACAGAGCCACGATAAGCATGAGTGTGCATATATCTGCTTGGATGTCAGTTATGGTCTCTTTCGTATATATTCCCAGTAGTGGAATTGCTGGGTCAAATGGTATCTCTATTTGCAACTTTTTGAGAAAGTGCTATACCACCTTCCACAGTGGTTGCACCATTTTACACTCCCACCAACAGTGAATAAAGGTTCCAGGAAAGTAGAGTTTTACTAATATAGGAAACAAAGTTCCTCACGACCGGACTAATAGGCAACACATAATTGAAATGGTCAACAGTTTCCTTTGACTTGAATTCTCCAAGGTCAACATCTATAAAGCAGCAGTCAAGAAATCAAAAGATGTGTTGCATGGGGAAAATCTGCCATCATGGACTTTTTCAAAATGCTGAAGAATAAGGATGCAAGTTTAAAGATTTAGATGCACCTGATCCAAGCCATGGTATTTCCAGTGGCTCATTTGTATCTGGAAGTTGGACATTGAATAAGGATAACAGAAAGTGCAACCAGAGTGCTCTTAAGAGTCAAAGATAGTGAAACTTCATCTGACATACTTTGGGCATGTTGTCATTGGTGGCTAGTTCATGGAAGAAAAATATCAAGTGAGTAAAAGGGAGTCAACAAAATATAGGAAAACTCTCGGCAAGATGGATTTACACAGTGATTAAGAGTTTGCTTGAGCATGACAACAATCATGTAGGTGGTGTGAGATAAGATTAAGTTTAGACCTGTTCATAGGGGAGCTGTGACTCGTGGACTCAGTGACACCGAGCAACAGCAGCAGCCAGGGCACTCCTTAACCTTTAAAAAATGTCAGTATATTATAGCAAGAGATCCTTCATCAGTGTTAACAGAAGTTTCTACCTCTATACAGGAATGGTCCCCACATATCTGTTAACTCCAGTTATGTTGAAGGTTCTAACTCAGTCTGATCCTTTCTGTACTGATAATTGCACATTTTTTACGAGCATCCTTTTCTAGTATGTTTCTACATCCTCTAAATATACTAATTATGACTGTTACTGAGAAGTATAACATGGTTTCATTTCTTTCATAAATGTTGTGAAAGGGTTACCATTAGCACTCTAATTTAACCACAATATGATAGTATTAACCTGACTGCTTTCTGTGTCCTGCAGTTGATCAAATGGGAAGATTGATTGTGGCTGGAGGGGCTATTGTTGGTCTTGGAGGTTTATGCTACTACGGCTTGGGAATGTCTAATGAGATGGGAGCTATTGAAAAGGCTGTGTAAGTAAATTGTTTCTAGACAATTTAGGCGTTTAGGCATTTCATATTTTTAGTCAATTTTGTCTTTACATACTTTTAGTTTCAACTATATAAGAATATACATGGGTCAATATAAAATTTTCCCGCCTTTGGTGTATAAGGAGGGATGTAGTCTGTAGGGAGTTGTACTACTAATCCAAGAGCAACACCTCTCTGCCAACTCATATCTAATGGCAGCTCTGAGAGACTAAAATGGGTGATTTCCTCTCATGTTATTTACAGCTTCCTCAAAAACCTGCTGAAGCTATGAGTCACTTCCATCTCAACATCAATGAGTTTTGGTTTATTTTTGTTTTTTGTTTGGGTTTTTGTTTTTGTTTGTTTGTTTGGGGTTTTTGTGATCCTTAATGAGGAGATACATGCTTAGGTAAGGAAACATCGGGTTGTGTTTTTGTTTTGCCAGATGGCTTATGTGCTTTGTCCCATTTCCTTTTTTGCAGTAATGCTAAAGTATGCATAATTAAATCCATAATAAAGGAGAAAGATTTAGATCAGTAAAGTGTTTTATTGCAAGATTGCCCAGCTGGTAAATGATTCATCTGGAATGCACATCCTGTTACTTAATTGTGTTGCTTTTATTTCAGGATTTGGCCTCAGTATGTAAAGGATAGAATTCACTCTACTTACATGTACCTAGCAGGAAGTATTGGTTTGACAGCCCTGTCTGCCTTAGCAGTGACTAGAACTTCTATGCTCATGAACTTCATGTTGCGAGGCTCTTGGGTGGTAAGTCACTTTGGTCCAAATATGAAACAGAAAACATTGGGAGTCAGGGCAGTACATGGAAAGAATACCGTAACATATTAAAAATTGTGTTAAAAAGAAATACATTATTGCAGCTAGGATAAAATAAGAAGTACTTTCAGAGTTGAATCACATTATTCTTTATTAAATATGTATTTAATAGTACTGAAAAGGTATTTAGAGGCATATCCAGATTTGACTAGTAGCAGATAGCAGAAAACCTCTACTAAGTAGCAATTTACTGAAAATAAAGCAAATGGGGTGGGGGATCTTGGAGGTCAGTAGAGAACACCTATCACAGATGTCAAACATTCAAATCTTTTGAGGGAGTAGTGCTATCCTATTAATCTGAGCATCTTTAAAGTTGTATATGCAGTGGTACCTCTCAAGCTAAGTACCAGAAATGATTCAGAAGTAGTGCCTGGTTTTCTGTGACCTGATAGAAAAGAAGAACATGATGAAGGACATGAAGTATGATGAAGTCCAACTGATCCATACTACTAATCCAAGAGCAACACCTCTCTGCCAGTTCAAATCTAATGGCAGCTCTGAGAGACTAAAATGGGTGATTTCCTCTCATGTTATTTACAGCTTCCTCAAAAACCTGCTGAAGCTATGAGTCACTTCCATCTCAACATCAATGAGTTTTGGTTTATTTTTGGTTTTTGTTTGGGTTTTTGTTTTTGTTTGTTTGTTTGTTTGGGAGATGCATGAGAAGCATTTCATTAAGATCATGCATGGGAGGCACTTTTATTGGAGGAAATATGAAAACCAGTCCAGATTTACAAAACATCTTGAAAAAAGCAGTGAAGATAGGAAACTGTCATTTTAAAAGGGATTGGAAATCCTGTAAGTGAAGTTTGGGAGATCTTGTGTATGAAGAGGATAGTTATTAAGCACATGGTTACCAAACTGAGGATAGTGCCTAGAGCAATGAGAGTTCACAAGATTATTGGATCAGCAAAAATACAGTTTACATTTGAGTTTTAAGCACTGACACTGAAGAGACAAGAAGCAGTAGTCACCATCTGTACTTTGAAGAATGATAGGAACCTGAGCTGGAGTAGTAGGTGCAGCTGGACAGAGGAAGATATAATGGGAGAATGAATATAATACTTTCCACAATAAACTGATTGTCCTCATAGATAATACAAATCCGTCTTACTTCCAAATCCATGCTACTGACTGCCACTACTCTGCTGCACTTTAGAAAAGGAAGACTGATCACAGTCAGTAGCGTGGACACTGGTCTTTAGAAGAGGTCATTATTGCCAGTGCTAGATGGAGCTTGGCTGAAAGCAAAGAGTACCAGCAAAATGTCTGTGTGTTCCATTGACTGTGCAGAGGCAGTTTACTGTGTGGATCATAACAAATTGTGGTTAACCTTCAAGAGAATGGGAATCCCAGAACATTTGATTGTGCTTATGTGAAACCTATACTTGGACCAGGGAGCAATAGTCAGAACAGAGCAAGGAAACACTGCATGGTTCAAAATCATGAAGGGAGTGCATCAGGGATGCATTCTCTCTCCATGCCTTTTAAGTCTATATGCAGAACAGATCATTTTGGAAGCTGAGCTGTATGAGGAGGAGTGTGTCATCAGGATTGGAGGAAAATGCATCAAATCTGACATTATGCTGATGACACAACCTCGATTGCCAAACTGAAGACAACCTGAAGTGCTTGCTGCAGAAGATCAAGGGCTGTAGTCTTCAATATGGATTGAAGCTCAACATCAAGAAGACAAAAGATTCTCACCACTGGGCCAATTGGCAGCACCGTAATAGAGGGAGAAGAGATTGAGATTGTTAACAGAGCTTTCTCAGCTCCATAATCAACACTCTTAGCAATAGCAGTCAAGAAATCAAAAGGCAAGTTGCATTAAATCTGCTGTCAGGGACCTCTTCAGAGTACTGAGAAGCAACAATGTCTGGAGACTAAGGTACACCTAATCCAGGCTTTGCAATTACTTGCTATGTGTCAGAGAGCTGGACAGTCACTGAAAATGACAGGAGGAAAATTGATGCCTTTGAGTTTTGCTGGAGAAGAGTCTTGAACATAGCATGGACCACCAAGAAAACAAATAAGTCTCTCTCAGAGAGGGTGAAGCCAGGTTTCTCCTTGGAAGCTAGGATTTTGAAGTTCCAGCTTATTTTGGACACGTGGCCAGGAGGGACCAGTCCTTGGAGAAGGACATCATGCTTGGAAGGGTAGAGGGTCACACAGCACAGGAGAGGCAGACCCTGGATGAGATGAACCGATACAATCATTAGGGTATGGGGGTGGGTAGGTATGTTGGAGTCAGTGAGACTGGGTCAGAATAGGGCAGTCTCCAGAGCTGTTGTACATAAGGTCATTATGAATCACAGGTGACTCGATGGCACATACAATAACAACAATTCATAGATGGCTGCTTTGCAATTGGTTTTTGGCAGATTTCCCAGTTTAGAGATTTGGGAAGCTACAGCTTAAGCTTAATGCTTTTGCTTGAAAAATATCAGTTTTATGTAAAGGTAAGTAAAACAAAATGGTTACATTGTGAAAGATTAAAGTGTACAAAGCATTTTAACTCCTAAAGTAAGACTTAAACAAGTTTTATGTTTAGGCTGTGCAAACAAGTTTTGTATTTAGGCTGTGCCTTAGACCCAGTGTTGACATCAGAGTATTCGCTGCTTGAGGAATGCCTGGGTACCAAAGCTGAGAAAGCCACAGACAAGTGCTATAGAGGTAAAGATCAAGCCTTGTGGTGTGACAGTGATGCACATAGATAGTGCCAAAAAGATTTCTGCAAAGTCCTTTGGGAAGAGATGACATTTGTTGCTCCTGGGCAGCCAGAGTAGTCACTAGAAAAGGCTACTGAGACTAGGTGTTTCTTCAGTTAGCCAGACAGGAAGAAGTTTTTCTTAGGCACAGTGGACAGAATTAAAGAAGCATGGGACTTTAAAGGTGTATCTGTATACATACAGTGTACAACAACAATAAAAAAGGACCCTAAATTAAAAACATGATTGCAATAAATGCATTGAAAATGCTACACACAGCAGATACTTGAGTAATTTTTAGCAGTTGTTGACATGGTTTTACCTAGTGTGCTTATATGAATGACTGTGAATAAAGGCTTTCCCATTGATAGCAAAAGCAGCTAGTCTATTGGAAAGTCTGCCCCACTAAAAAGCATCCACATTAAATTATATTTTTTCAGTGTTTGGCCAAACAAAATATTGGTTGCCTGATTCTGTCCAGTGGCTATAAATTTATAGTCTCTGCTTTAAATGTTCTGAAGATCCATTATAATTGCCTTTTTCTCAAAGAATTAAAATATTAATGCAGCCATCCCCTTTTGCTTATGAATCAGGGTGAAGTCTCTCTCAGAGAGAAGTGATAGGGAATGGCAAAGGACACACTTACAAAGGAGATTAATCAGAAATGGCTTTGACAAGCACTGTGGCAACTGGACAATTAAAACAGACATTCGTGGAGGGGGAAGAAGAACGAACTGGGGAGGAGGGTAGAGAAAACAGTGCAACAATGAGTGAGAACCCAAAATCTCTGTAAATGTTCATTAAAACTAATAAAATTTAATAATAATTTTAAAAAAACAAAAAAAAATTAATGCATAAAGCATATTCAAATATCTTGGCAGTGATTATATAAAATAGGTAGAACAAAGAAATGAAGACAAGTCAGCCATCAAATGGAAAGGCTAGAATTATAGAATCTTTGTTCACCTGGTGAACATGTGGGTGATTTTTATCTTTTATTTTTTTTAGCTTCCCATTAAGGTAAGTTTAAGGCACTGGATGCTATGTACATACATATACCTTATGTTGTTAAGTTGATTCCAGTATGTAACATTCCTGTAGGAAAAAATTAGAACTGCCTCATCATATTTCTTAGTCAGGGAGCCAAATTATATTACATCTCTATCCAACAGAGTTTTTAAAAGGTGGTATCAATCCTAGTTGTGTACTTAAAGATGCTTGAAAAACATATATAGCAGTAAATGTGGGGGAGCTCTCTTGCCAAAACTTGTAATTACTATAAATTCAAAGATTTCCTTAATCTTTTAAAAAATTGGTTTGTTAGAAGTAACTGCTTGTATTTTTAACTTCTTGATTTCGGTTTTCCTGACTAAGGATCAGGTTTTTGTAATCATGTATATCTTTCAGACAGTTGGTGCAACTTTTGCAGCCATGATTGGAGCTGGAATGCTCGTGCGATCGATTCCATATCACGAGAGCCCAGGCCCAAAGCATCTTGCTTGGTTACTACATTCAGGTATGTTCCCATTTTAAGTCATTATTAAGCAACCCTGAACTATTCAGTGCGTCTTGATAGTTGTACATATACATCGTTTAATATTTTAGATGCCTTTTTTTTTCTCCTTCCTGCCAGACCTCTTGTCTGAAAAATCAGTAACTGGGACTGTTAATTGTTATCACCAAGCTTCCTCAAAATTAAACTGCAGAGGTCTGCTTTTATATATTTGGTTCAAAGTAAGGATGATAGATCTGGCCCACATCATTTGTGAGTTGTTCTTGGTTATTTTTAGAGGACAAAAACTCTTTAAGAGTAGAGAAAAGGAGAAGATATGAAAGAATGAGGTTTTGCGGTAAAGTATCGACGGGGAGTAGTCCTAAAAATCCTAGTAAAAGAAGGAAAGTGCTGGGCCAGCCACCAGGCAGTACTGGGTGGTCTGCACACCGTCACTGTGGGCAGCGTTCCAGTGCTCTCACCTGCTATTGCAAAATGTATTTATTATCTTTTTAGATGAATGTCGTGGCATCTTCTATCACTGAAAGCACAGTATTTAGCAAGTTCAAACAGTGTTTTCATATTGCAAATCCTAGCTGTCCTTTCTTTGAGGTGAACCCATAAGAGAAAACAGTGTTTTCTTGCATACATGTTCTCTGTAACAAAACAACCTAAATTTTCTACTTCTCTGACACTTCTCAGGAGAGACCCTAAAATGTTTGTAAAAGTATTGTTGTTATGGTGTGCCATAACAACAATAAGTTGCTTGTGACTCAAAGTGAACCTGTGTACATTAACTCTGAACCCTGCCCTATCCTCAGCCATGTATGTCCTCAGCAAATTTCGTTGTCTCCAACAGACCTAATCCCATTTCTACAGTCACTTAATCAGTCCCTCTCATCCTAGGTCTTCCTCTCCTGTCCTTCTGCCCTTCCAAGCATGATGTTCCTCTCCAAGGACTGGTCCCTCCTGGCCAAGTGCCCAAGTGTTATTGTTCTGTGCTTGTGACTCATAGCAACAATAGTGCTGAACCTTGCTCTATCCTGAGCCAATCTCATTGTCTCTGACACACCAGCTCCCATTACCCTACTCACTGAGTCAGTTTATCTTGTTGAGCGTCTTTCTCTCTTACATTGTCCCTCCACTCTCCCAAGCTTTATATCCCTCTCCAAGGACTGGTCTCTCCTTGCAGTATGCACAAAGTATGTCAAACAGAGCTTCAGAATCCTTGCCTTCAAGGAGAAGTTTGGGTCAGCTACTACAGGAATGGCCTGTTTGTTCTCCTGAATGTCCACAGTTTGTTCAGCACTCTTCTTCAGCATCACAGCTCAAAAGACATCATTCCTTCTTTTATCATCCTTAGTTTTTGTCCAGTTCTCTGATACATCGCAAGTAATTCTAAAGACCGTGGCCTGGATCAGACACACCTTAATCTCCAGAATGATATTGTTGTTTTTCATCACTCTAGACTTTCCTGCTATAATTCATCTTTTGATTAACTGACTGCTGTTGTCAAGAGTGTTGATTGTGGAACCAAGCAAGCTAAATTTATCCACAATCTCAATCTGTTTTCCATCCATCATGAAGTTGCCAGTTGGCCCAGTGGTGAGAATCTTTGTTTTCTTGATGTTGAACTTCAGTTCATATGGCAGACCTACAGTCCTTGACCTTCTCAGTTTCAGCAAACAAGGTTGTGTCATCTGCATAAGGAAGATTATTGATGAACATTTTTTTAAGACATAATAGAAGACCTAAATAAATGGGAAAATGTTCCCTATTCATGGATAGGAAGATTCAATATTGTGAAAATGACAGTCCTACATGTTCAATGCAATCCCTATACTGACACCAAATTCATTTTTCAAAGAGACCAAAAGGAAAGTTGTCAAGTTTATTTGAAGAGGAAAGAGATGCCAAATAAGTAAAGCACTTCTGAAAAACAAAAATGAAGTGGGAGAAAACAACTATGAGATATCATCTCACCCCAGTCAAAATAGCAAAATTAACGGAACAGCAAGCAACAAATGCTGGCGAGGTTGTGGAGAAACTGGAACCCTGATTCACTGTTGGTGGGAGTGTCAAATGATGCAACCCCTGTGGAAGGCTGTATGGCGCTTTCTCAAAAAGTTGCAGATAGAGATACCATTTGACCCAGCAATTCCACTACTGGGAATATACCCTGAAGAGACCATAGCTGACATCCAAGCAGATATATGCACACCCATGTT